AAACTAAAACTAAAAATAATAATAATAATAATAATAATAATAAGAATAAGAATAATAATAATAATAATAATAATAATAATAACAAGAATAATAATAATGAGAATAAGAATAAGAATAAGAATAATAATAATAATAATAATAAGATTCCCATGATTTTGAGATTTCTGGAAATTTGAATAACACAATGTTGGGTGGTATTCAAATTACCTCAAAAGGAGGGAAAGTGAATCCCATGGTAATCATTTTCCTGGGAATCTAAAAATTATAATTCTTGTACCAAACATGGTAATATTACAGATTCTCATTCGCATCCTTAAGATTACTGCATACCAAACGCCCCTAAGTAAATAGCAAATTTTAAAACGATTTAGAGTAAGAAAAATAACATTACTATTCATGTCACTCTGTTTGTCATTTTCAACATTCATTATTTGACACATGAACTCTATTATCCTTATATATTATTATCTAAATATAAAATGTAATAGTATAACCCACGTGTCAAACAGTGAATATAAAAAATAGTAAAGAGAGTGAAATAAAAAGTAATTATAACTTTTGTCTTATGTAAATAACAATTTACTACGTAAATGACTAATTTACAAAAGATAAAATAATTTTTTTCCACGTAAAATTTTTTACGATTGGTAAAAGATTTTTTACCACATGAATTATATTCTATCATTTGTAAATGAAATATTTATACGAAAACTATTATTGATTTTAAATAGTTTTAAAATATATTATTTACTTAATTTAATTTTATAAATATGTTGTTTACTTCAGTTTTTGTAAATTATTTGTAAATAAATATTTATATGGTAAATTGTTATTTACTTCAAATAGTTTTAAAATATGTTATTAGAGCCTTGTTTGATTCAAGGATTCAAATTGTTGATTTGAGTTGTAGTGCATTGAATTGTGATTCAAACCGGTGTTTAGATATGTTAAATAAAGTGTAATTTGAATTAAGAATAAAATCCGAACTGTGTTTAGATATTGTGTTCAAAACTATCACTAGAGTTTTGTAACAAATGTTATAAAGTCTCATTGTAAATGACATTTAAAAATATGCAATATAAACGGTAATTTATTCATCTGTTCATTATGAACACATTAAAAAATTCATCTCAATCAAAATTAAAACAAAAAAATTATGACATTTTTAGGCTTCAAATTAAATAGAAAAAAAAACAGAATCAGACATCTAAGATTTTTAGCTTCAAATTGAATCGGAACTGCGATTTAAATTATAAACAACAATTCAGATAGTTGGAAGAAACATGAGCTAGGATTATTAGCGCTGTGAATCTTTAATGAAAAATGAGTCACTGAACTCTTTAACAAATTATATGCTAAAAAATTATTTTCCGCATTTTTTACCACCATAATCCCTACAAATTGAAATTGACAATGTAGTTCCAAAATTTTATAAGATCAGTTCACACTAAACGTATAATAATTGAAATTTTCATAAAAATAATTATATTTAATACTAAATAATAAAATATTTTCTTCACTATTATATAAACCATTAAAAACTAATTCATAGTATTTTGTTCGAAAAAACTAATTCATAGTATTTAACGTTATTATTTCTATGAAAATTTTAATTAATATGCATCTGGTGATTATTTTTGAGAAATTTTAAAAATTATTTGTTAATTTCAATGTCTAGAGATTAATGTGGTCAAAAATGAAACATTAGCAAATAATTTGTCAAAATGAAAAGTCGAGTGGCTTGTACCGCGCGTTGCGGCGGGCAATAATTTTATATCTGTATGTGTATATTGGTAGAATAAGTGACACAACATAGAGGTACCTATAATAGTAAAAAATATGAAATTTACAATACTGAGCATTATCATGTACAAAATAAATTAATAGGATGACAACTATAAATAAGCCAAATTCATCAACGAATAATGCATGAATGGAGAACTTCATGTTGATGTCTTTTTATTCCTGGATTCTTCCTTTAAAAGCAGGCCAACAAATTAAAGCTCTGCCATATCAAATGCTAACCAAAAAGAGTTTACGAAAGAGGAGTTAGGAAACATCAGTAAAACAATAAATCAATAAATAAGCAAAGAAAAATGAGAGAATATGTAATAAAATCAACTATATATAAAGATAATAGTATTTTGGTATGCAGCAATTCTGGCTCAGTTATGCAGCAACTCCAAGAATTTTTTATGAATAGGTTGTTTGTATATCTAATTTGCGCTGCAATGGAATAAGGAGCCATCCTGAAAAGAAATAAAGGAATGAAAGGCTGCGGAGAAAATAGCAGTATTAGATCACGGGATGTAAAGACGGAAAGAAACCTCTGTTTAGAAGGAGATGGGAATAGTGAACGATGCTAAGTGAATAATGTCAGATGATGAACGATGAAATATGGGAGTTTTGTGTACATAAATGATAGGAGAAGGCAATGCTGAGAACAAATAAAGAACTAATATATTAAGGGCAAGAGTGCAGTGCCAGAGCACAAGAGAGCAAAAAGGTTAAAGACATGCATATAGCAGAGCAAAATAGAGGAAAAGCAAAGGAAAAGAAAGGAGGAGGAGAAGGCGCATAACTTACTTGAATATTTAGCATAGGGAAGGAATGCATCTAGTATGAGTACGGGAGGTAGGGAAGTCGTGGAGAGAAATTATTAAGAATACCTCAGATGTTATAAATCTTGCCCAAAGCGCTTAATGCAGTAGTGGCTCACACAAAAGTAAGAGGACAAAGCAATAAATTGTAGCAAACCTTAGGAAACACGGATAGTTACGTAAGTGAGCAAAGAAATAAATGGGGAGAAGAGACTCAAAAAGCTAATAGACATAGATGTAATAATGCTTTTATGCGGCAATCGTGGCTCAGATATGGAATGCTCCCAGCAATGTGTGATAAATAGATCGTGACTGCCTAGTAATGGCAACTGCACAAAAGGATAGAATGTTACATCCATCACATAGGTTATAGTTTTCATGCAACACAAAATCATTAAGTATAGTGATATATAAAGTTGTCCAAAGACTACCAGGTGAATTGAAAGGAGGAGGAAAACAAAACAGCGACACTAACGCGGCAATAAAGTCTATAGTGCTTAACAGAAGATAGTAAGAGAAGTGGAAAAGACAAAGACATGAAAAATGAATAAATGAAATAATGAAAAGATCAAGACTGTCATGAGAGGGCCAAAATAAAAGGGCAGAGTCTCTTTTTTTCCCTTGACAATTTTTTTTTTTTTTTTTTTTTTTTTGCATGAGACGAATGAAATACCAAACACAAAGAAAGTAAGAGCCCCAGAATAAGTCAAAACAACAAAGGAAAAATTAGGAAAGAATCTAACTCAAAAATAATAAAATGAGGATTCAAGTAGGGAAAATATGTTCACATCAATCTCTGGACAATTTACATGAGACTCAATGCATTAAAATCAATTGTAATCATCATTGCCATGTAGAAAAGCTGACCAAAACTACAATAAGTAAAGATATGTGCGTATATGTATAACACCGAACCAAGAGACCGAGGAAGGAAAAAGAAGCGGGGACAAAACAGCGAAATCAACGCGTGAGAACCAAAAAGACCACGCAGCCCCTACATGGAAGGAGGAAAGATAAGGGGAAAAAGGACAAAATGGGCATTCCACTGCAGGGGGAACAATATTTGCAACAAAATGCACAAACAGGAAGTCAATATATGAGTATGATGCAGTAAGAAAATACAAAATAGAATGAAGACACATAATAGGACAAGAACAACGAATGTTAGGACATGTTATAAACGAATTAATATTAAGTTCGGCTTGTCTTTTTTTTCCTTCCACATTGTGCATAATAATCCTTCAATGAAACAGCAATACCAAAGAGGCAAAGGCGTTAGAACAGGGAGAGAAACCAAAATAGGAACAACCAAAAGGTTTTAAGCCTAGAAGGACAAAAAGTAGCCAAAGTGGGAATTCGATGGAGGAAAATGCATTGACAGCAACTTTTTAATAAATTATCCAAAACATGCGATATGAAGGTTAGCTAGAATGATTATGGCCTGATTAGAAAACTGAATGAAGACTAAATATGTGAAACATGAACATTTAAGCACATATGTGATTAAGAAAGCAGTAAACAGCAGATCAATCCATACTTACCAATCACTAATAAAACATAAAAGAAAAAAGATGTTGACCATCAACATTCATCAAGAATGGAGCAAAACATTTCCCAACATTTTAGGTTGGCAGCATTATGAACAGCGTGAAAAATAACTTATCAAAACATTCAGCATAGGGAATTGATATATGTAGTGTGAGTAACAAAGGTTATAAAGTTGCGCGCAAAAATTATTAACAATACCTCAAACGCTATAAACCCTCCCTAATGTGCCAAATGTGGACCAATCGAACGCGAACAGTGGTCAATGATGCAGCAGGAACAAGATGAGGCAACAGATGATAACAAACCTTAAAAAATACAAATAATAAAGTAAGTAAATGAGCAAACAAACAAATGGGCAAAAGAGGCTTAAAAACATAATAGTCACAGGCATAACAATGTTTTCAGGCAGCAATTGTGGCTCAGATATAGAATGTTCCCAGCAATGTGTGATAAATAGATTGTGGCTGCCTACTACGGCAACTACATAAAAGGGCACAATGTTATATCCACCACACACATTATAGGTCATATATGTTACAAGATGAATAAGCAGAGCAATATATAAAGTTGTCCAAAGACTACCAGGTGAATTGGAAGACAGAGGGGGAAAAAAAAAGAAAGCAATAAAACTTGCAATTTATGACAAAGTAAGAGAAACGTGAAAAAGAAAGACATCAAGAAGTAACAAATAAAGCAATGAGGAGATGAAGAACATCATCAGGGGACTGAAATAAAATAAGAGGGTCCCTGTTTTGTTCCCCCCACAATTTTTTTTTTGCAAGAAGAGGATAGAAAAACCAAAGCTCTGCAGTGGAAAAAGAAAATTGATAGACTTATAAATAGTTTTTAAACGAAACTAAAAATACAAAGAAGGCAAAGGCCTCGCAGTAAGTGGAAATAACAACAGGAGAAATCGGTGAAAAGTCCAACACAAAAACATGGGATAAAAACAAAATCCGAATGAGGGAAACATATTCATAGCAATCTTTAGACAAATTATACAAAAGTCAACAGATCAAAATGAATAATGATCATCATTGCCATGTGAAAAAAACTTATCAAAACTGAGATAGATAAAGGCACGCACATATATACGCGAGACTGGAAAATAAATAAGGAGGTCAACATATAAATATCATATACTGAGCAAATACAAAAGAAAATAAAGGCAGATAACAAAACATATACAACAAAATTAATACCGCCACAGTAGAGCAACACATCGCTAAAAAATATATAAAGGTATGGATATGGATTGTTAACAGTACCTGGAGCGTTATAAATACTGCCTCAAGTCTGAATTATCAGCCAACCAAATGTGAGCAGAAGGAGTAAAAGACAGAGATAAAAGGATCAAGCAGTAAATAATGGATGATGAAATAGAGTAATAAATGATGGAAGGTGAGGTAGGGAAGTAAAGACATGAAATGCAATGGAAAGAAGCATAGATATGCATGATAAATTCATGTACAGCTATATTCTTAAATACAGAAGTAGAGAACAGTTGCACAGCCTCTAACAACGTCACACGTAAGAGCATAGAGTCGGTGGACCAAAGATGAGAGACAAAGATCCCCTAACTAAATAGCAAAAAAAAAAGAAAAAAGAAAAAATACATCGTTTATAATAAGGAAAAGGCAAAAAAAAAAAAAAAAAGAATAAAACACCAATATAACAAATTAACAATAAGGCCAGAGAAAGGGAAACGAAAAGGAAAAAAAACGCAAAAAGTGACTATATATATTGTGAGCAGGGGAAAAAGTCAAGGTTTCATTTAATACTTCTGCAACAAAATGTGTATAAATCATCAACGTGGCAGGCAAAATCAGCACTGTAGACTCTACAGATCACCAATTCAATAAATGCAGGAGAAGAAGATGGAGATCAAGCAGAAACAACACGGAACTATGCGGAGAAAAAACCCCTCTAAACAAAAGGACCAATCAAGAACAAAGGAGAACTATCGCGAGGGAATTTTTTAAAAACCATGTATGCCAACTAATCAGAAATTACATCCAATCTCAGCCAACACTAATAAATCTAAACAGATAAGGGACAAAGGCAAATAACGGGAAAAAGCATCGAAGAAGGTATTAAAACGCAGATTAAAACCACGAATCAAATGCAGATTAAAACCACAAATCAAACGGACATGGAAGCCACCGATGAAAAGGGAGAAGACCTGCACTAAAACCCATATGAAATTTCAGTAAAGACCAAAAAATCTAAACAAATGAAGCACAAAAGCAAAGGACGGGGAAATGTATGGAAAGAGAAGTGAAAACCTGCGGCAAAAAAAAAAGCTCAAACTTGCAATTGCCCAAAAGCAGAGAAAAACTGATACTAAAACCACGAATAAAGTGAGCATAGAGGCAGCCCAGAAAAACCAAAGACATATGCACCAAGACCCAACTAAATCGAAGGACCATTCAACAAAACCAGCGAGAAAAATCGAGCCAAAGCCACAAATGGGAACGACCGAAGAAAGCAGGAGAAAGAAGGGATAGAATCCCATAATTTCCCCTAAAATCAGACCGGAGAGACCTGCATCAAAACCCGGATGAATCGAAGGACCATCCAAGAAAACCGCAAAGAAAAATAGAACCAAAGCCACAAACAAAAACAACCGAAAAAGAGAGGAAAAAGAAGGGACAAGATCCCAAAATTTCCCCCAAATCACAGCCAAAAAACATGCTCCAAAAACCACATGAGCCGAAGGAACCATCTAATAAAACCACGGGGAAAAATCAAACCAACGCGACAAACAAAAACACCGGAAGAAGAGAAGCGAAAGAAAGAATAAAACCCTATCATTTCCCCCAAAATCAGACAAGAAAGGCAAGGAAAACCAAAGCATCGAAGCAAAAATGGGCAGAGGCAAGGAAAACCAAAGCATCCAATCAAAAATGTGTGGCGGCCAATGAAAGGAGGGGAAGGAGAGAAGATCGAAAGAGCAACAGAGAACCACCAATTACAAAATCACTAAAAGTACTAAACCAAAAAGCCCAGAGAAGAAAAGAGCAGAGAACCAAGAAAGAGAGGAAGTGAGGGAGACACAGAGAATGAGGGCATCAAAGAGGCAAGAGAAGCTACCGGCCGCGAAATTACTAAAAAGACCAAACCCAAAAGGCCACGGAAGGAGAAAGAGCAGGGGCTAAAGAGGGAAAGCAACCCATAAGAGAGTCACAAAAAGACCAAACCGCCCCTGCAGCAGGACAAGGAAAAACAATAAATCGAGGGCAAAACCGTCACTTTAACTGTTCTGCGTGAACAGTATCCCGGGCTATCTTTTTCTATATTTATAATTTCACCCCATTAAAATATTATCGTTTTCCTTTTCTTGTTCTCTTTTTTGCCGAAACGGAAACGAAACAACGGTTTAGGGTTTAATCCACACTCTGAGTTCTGATATTGTCCCCTCTCGGCTCTCTGCTTTATTCAAACTTTCTCCACCTTTGAACCAGAAAAGAAGAAAAAATGGCTTCCTTCTTCAGATCAGCTCTAATGGCGGCAACTAGGTCGCCCATATCAGCTCACTCCAAATTCTCGACCCCAAGTCCCTTCTACCCAAACCCCATTTCCTCTCCGTTCTCTTCAACCTCCGGAACAACCAATCCTCAAGCTTCGCGGTACAGCTCTTCTAAACCCTAGCGCCCTCAATTTCTCACCATTTTCTTATATTCTTGATTCTGAATTTGCGTTATTGTGAAATTGAAGGCTCGTTTCTGCTTTCGGAAAGGTCGAGTCCTTGAAGCCGCTTCACCGTCTCAACTCGCCGGCTCGGATCAAATCCAAGGGCTTCTTGCTCAAACCCGGCCCCCAAATCTGCGTAGTGATCCGGTATTTCGATCGCCTACCCGTCGAAAACCGGTCTGCGGATCCGAAGAAGAAGATTGCGTCGCCGCCGAAAATGACCAACCCTAAGATAACCATAACTTTGACGAATACTGAGCGGCCGTGTTTGGATGACCGATTGCCGGGTCGGAGGGTTCGATTGCCTGAGACGCGGCGGCTGTACACTCTGTTGCGGTCGCCTCACGTTCATAAGAAGTCCAGAGAGCAATTCTGGATCAGAACCAATAAGCAGTGTCTGGTTATACAGACGACGGAGAAAGATGAGTGGAAAAGGAAGCTCTTTTGGTTGAAGAATGGCCGTGCTTTCCTTTGATTCCACCTTCTGCAACCGGCTTTCTCAAGGTATTGATAGAATAGAGAGAGAAATGTTAATACTTAATAGGATTAGGACTATAATGGATTATGTTTTTAATTTTTTTTTTTTTTTTTTTTTTTTTTTCTAATTTTGTTGTTTGGCTCAATGAATTAATTATTATATGTTATAATCGACACAAGTACTAGAATATTGGAAGGGTTAATTTGAGGAATGGAATGATGATTTCATTGGTTCACTTTTATTGGATTATGTACATTGAGGCTTTTTGCTCAAGTAAAATCCCATTTTAACATTCTTCAATATATTTCTATTTAATATGTGTTTTATTCAGTTATTCGGGTTTTTTTTTTTTTCTTTTGGCGGTTGTTACTTGTTAGTTAGTGAACTTATACTAGTTGGGTTTGCATAAATATGATTCATTTTTTGTGTTTCTGAGCTCTGTTTCTCATGTGGTTGTTAATTGGAGTCTCTGGAAACTCGAGATGTTTTCCTTTGTTTTCGTTTTAGACTGAAATATAAGGTTGTAGTTCACTTCAGTGGTAAATGCTTAATTCTTATTTTTGTGATTTTGAGTGCGAGTCATGAATTTTATCCTCTTTTATAATAACAGATGTAACATAGTTTATTGAATCGTCAATATGTGTTTATTGGGTAATGGTTTTGGTTACTTTTGCTTTGAATATTGTTAAGTATAATTCTGACTTGTTTTTTACATCATGGTTTAGGACTTGCAATCACCATTGTGACAAAAAGGCTCGCCGTCTGTGGGGGACAATAAGTGAGTACGGTTGTCCTTCTTTGTCACCATGTTAAAGGCAAAAAGAATGTCTCTAATAGTGAAATTTTGGACTTTTATCATGCAGCTCATGACTATGAGTTCCATATTCTAAATTGAATTCTTTTATTTGGAATTCTTTTATTTGTGGGTTTTAAGGTCATCTCTCTTCTATGTGTTTTGCCTTTAACTTTGATTTGTGCATGGTGGCTAAATTGGGAGGAAATACTTCATTTAACTTTGTGGTCTGTTGGCTGATATATAAAGTTGACAGCTGATGAGCACAGTGCAAGCATTGATGAGATCTATGCAATAAACTCGCTACATGTTCTTTTCACAATTCCAGTCATAAGTCATAACTCAAATTTTATTTATGTGAGAAAAAATATTGTAACAAAAAGTTAAATTTGAATTTATATGAGAGAAAAACTGTAGCAAAAGAACTTGAGTTGTGAAAAGTTGTGAAAAGAATAACTAGGATGGAAAATGAAAAGGTTATGCAACTCCCACAATTAGGAACTTCTCACTGTTTGAAGGAAATACATTATACATGTTACTTGGCTTTTTCTTTTTTTTTCTTTTTTTGCCGAAAATGTCACTTGGCTTGTTAATAATAAGGTTAATGTACCGGAATTCTTTTTTCTCAATCATAACTAATTCCACTTACCTCTCCTAGCAGGAGCTAATATAAAGATTGATAGGATTTATGCATAAGTCTGCGCTTATTGAGACTACTTTATTTGTAATGAATGGTAACTTTAGATGCCCGGTGGTATGACATGTTCATCAGTTTTGGTTCATCTATCTATTTTATGAGCTTTCTATACCAAGTAGGTTTCTGAAAGCACCAATGGTTCTAACTAAAAGAAAAATGGGATCTCTTGTCCCCTATCCCTTTCATCTATAGCAGAAAATCAAGAGTTCATTAGTCTCGTAGTTTTTTAAATAAGTTAATAAAACTCGTGCGTGCGAGGGTGGATTCACTCAAATTTTAACGGTTATTATTGCTTAGGGCACTATGCAACACTTTCTTATACTTCAGGATTGTAACGTATCTAACTATATATAATAAGTTATTCAACAAAAGACTATATAATAAGTTTCAAAATTCAAGTAACGTCAATCAAAACGCCCCTTTTGGATCCCTTTAGTTTTTTTTTTTTTTTTTTTTTTTTTTTTTTTTTCATTTTACTTTTTCTCCAAAATGTTGTATTTTTCGTTCTTACTTTTCTTTTTAACTTTTTTTCTTTCGTTTACCTAAATTAATTTATTTTAGCAGATTTATCCTCCTTAGATTTATCCTCCTTAGACTTTCCGGTGGTGGTGCTTAAAATTTATTTATTTTTTCATTTTAATTCTTTTTTGACTTTTTTTATTATTTTTGTCGTAAAAATTTAGTTTCCTTTCGTTTTAGTTTCTTGCGCTCTAAAATTTATTTATTTTTTCATTTTAATCCTTTGTTTTTTTTTTTTTACTTTTGCACTGGAATTTTATTTTTTTTTCCCCATTTTGGTACTTCTCTTTTTTATTTTAGACATGATGTTTTATATTTTTTTTTCTTGTTTTTGTTCCTTTTATCTTGAAACTTATTTGTTTCTTCATTTTTGTCCATTTTGACCCTTTTTATTTTTGTCTTGACACTTTTATCTTTTTTCGTTTTGGTCCATTTTATCTTAAAACTTATTTATTCGTTCATTTTAATCCTTTTCTTACTCTTTTTTTTGAATTTTTTTCCTTTCGTTTTGGTTCCTTTTGACCTAAAAGTTATTTATTTCTTCATTTTTGTCCTTTTTTTACTCTTTTTTTTTGCCTTGTAATTTTTTTTTTTTTTTCCTGTTTTTGTGCCTTATGCCTAAAAGTAATTTATTTCTTCATTTTAGTCATTTTTTGACCTTTCTTATAACTTCTTGCGCTATTTTTCTTTTTTAATTTTGATTCTTTTTTAGAATTTTATATTTAGATGTTTTATATTTTTAATAATAACACGATAATTAAAACTTAATATATGAATTATACCTCACGTGCATAGTTCGACGAATCAATCGTAAAAGTTAAAATACAGATATAGCAAATATCGTTATTTTAAACTACAAATTGTCAATCAAATGGATGTCATTTTTCCCTGAAGACCCTTTGAACAGGCGTCTAGGGGCAAGTCATTTTGTCTATAAAGTATTAACACGTATCCGAATTCAGTGTTATTAACGGGAGGCAATTCAAAAAGAAAAATGAAGGCAATTAACATCGGGAATTAACAAGAAAGATTCTCTAGTAGGATCAGAAAAATTAAATTATTGATAGATTTTTATTTTTTAATTATCAAATCTATATTAAAAATTATATGTTTTGTGTACTTTTTTAATCTAATGTGATTTTAATTAAATCTAATAGTCAGAAATTAACACTATCAATAAAAAAAACCTATCAGAGAAAGTCTCAATTAACAATACTAGTCGTTATATTCAACAATTAGTATTGGTTGCCTTTTCTTTCTTTTTAAAATTTTTGTTCTTTTTTTTCTTAAATGGAATTCTTCTGTCAACCAATGGGTATCTCGATGAGTCCAACTAATTCCATAGAACTTGTGCACTGTACACTGTCATGTTAATTGGGCGGGACTCCCTATCAAGTACGATGGCACATCACGAAAATTTTTAGGACAGACACACGACATGAAATTATAATGAGTTGAGTTAAGCACGACACGAAGTGGTGGGTCGTGCTGAGTTTATAATTTTTGACACGTGAGTCTAACATGACACGACAACAAACACGACACGAGTACGACACGACCTATTGAGTACGATAGACTGACAGGACAAGAGAGGGTGATGGATGGGCGGAGGAGTGAGAAGGGCAAAGATTTGTGCAAAAGAGAGAAGAGAGAGAGTCATTGGAGGAAGAAGAGAGAAAGAGAGGAAGTCGTACGAGATAGATAGAGGAGAGAGGGACGGAAATAATGAGCACAAAACAGAGAGAATGAAGAGAGGGAGAACATGAAGAGAAAGGGTGAAGAGAGACAGTGGGGGAGGAGAGAGTGTGTGTGAAGTGAGAGTTAAAGAGAGATTTGTGGAATAAAATTTGGATTTTGATTTTCTTCACTGTTTTTGAGGAAAATAAATTTTAAGTTTTACGTTATAAATTTTGCCGAAAACTTTTTTCATCATTTTTTCTTTGTTCCAAACAAGAAAAATCAAATCCTTCAATTTCTTTTCCTTTTTTCCCCCTAAAATTTGGGTTCCAAACATATCCTTACATTTTTTACTCTAAGTCCAACAGTTTTTCCGTTAATATACATATTGTTTTACAGACCGTGATTTAGTTTTCAAAGATGATGTTGCAGCAAGTTGAAAGCCATAATCCACGTATTAAGGGAAGGTTTCAATTCGATTTATTTACATACTCGGTAAATAAGATATACTCACTTTCATATTATTATTATTATTATTTTTATTATTATTAGTATCATTATTATTATTTATTATTATTACGATGATTATTATTATTATTATTATTATTATTATTATTTATTTTTTATATGAATAATTAAACACAATAATATAATATTTTTGAGAATTTAAAGATAATTTTTGTATAAAATTAAATATAATAATATTTTATTCTTAAGAATCATATTATTCTTCGTCATTTTCTTAAGAATATGATTCTTACTGATTCTCGCATACGCACCTTATATCTAATTAGCTTTAGATCTTAATCCATTCAAATATTTACCCTAACATCATAAAAACTTAACCCTGGAAATTTTGAGAACAAGCAAGCCTCAGCCACCGCCACCGTCAAAGCCTCCCACCGGACCTCTCGATCACTATCTCCATAATCGTCGTCAACACTGCTCACTCTCACCGCCACCCAGCCTACACCAAAAATCTACTCGTCCCTCTGATCACCCTTGCGGCTCCCCTTTCGCCTTCATCGCCACCCAACCTCCCACCGGAGCCCCTTCGGCCACATCTCCACCCAGCCTCCCATCGGATATTCATTGTGCCCCACCCTCGCCCTTTGCACCTCGGCCATCAATGATCTTCACCCTCGCCACCTTCTTGCTCGTTGAAATGTCGCGACCCACTCGATGGGTTTCACAACTACCTCCGGCTACAACAGTGAGTTAGCAACCCATGCGTCAGGTCTCGTGAACAGTGGGCAAGAAAGCCGTCTACAAATGGTGGGGTCACAACCTAGGCGATGATCTCGCGAACGGTGGGTAAGAACGCATGCTACGAACTGTGGGTTCGCAACTTGCCGGGATTTGGGTTTCGCGAACAATGGGCAAGAATGCCGAGAAGATGAGTTTTGCAACTATTATTTTTTTATTGTGAAATTAATGTGTTGGAAATTATGTGTATCAGTGAAAGTTTAATTTTTGAGGGAAAATTTGTGATAATCTGGGTCTTGCGCCTTCGCCGGAATCTGATCTCGTCCCTTCGCCGGAATCCGATCTCGTCCCTTCACCAAAATCTGGGTTTTTGCACTATTATTTTGTATTGTGAAATTAATTTGTTTGGAAATTAACGTAATGGATTTTTTTAAGGAAAAAACTTGTGAGAATTTGGGTCTTGGTTTGATTTTTGGTCTATGAACTCAATTTGTTCATATAGTAATAGTGGTTTAGTTTGGTTAATTAGTTTTTTCTTTCTAACAATAGTTTGGATATTAGTTTGAAATTTGTTTAAAATTGATATGATTTTAGTAGTGTTGAAATAAGTTTAATTTTGGGATTATTTTGATCTTTGTGTTGAATAACATTAGATCTTCAAGGGGAACTTTTGTGAATTGTTTGATTTTTTTTTTTTTTTTTGCAATATTTTTTATCTTTCATTGTTTCAGCTACGGCGTCAGAGTTGCGCCACTGAGGGTCCGAGGGTGGTGGCCGCGTCTAGGAGGAGATTTTGTTTAATTCTGTGGAATATAGGGTGACAAGTTGTATTTTTTATAAAAAGAAAGGGTTGTTCTTATAATTATTAATATTGTATTTGCGTTATAATTACATGCGGAAGAAACTACGGGCATTTTCTTTTGTCTAAATAAACTCAAAAAAAGATAATTTGAGTTTTAATTTTATTTAAGTTCATATTCTTTTAAGTTTTAATTTTATTTAACTTTGCTCAAATTACAATTTCAATTTAAGTTATAATTCAAATTCATTTAAAAATTACATTCAAGTTATATTCTAAAAGAATAATCCTGATAAACTCGAACTAAAAATCCGTTTAGTACTTAAATTAATTTTTTAATTTAAATTATAATTCGTTGTTTATTATAATATTTTTTTTTATAAAAAATACACATAAATTAAAAATAATTTTAATTACATAATTTAAATTTATAAACTAAGACTTATAAATTTTACCCTATTGGTAGGTGGATTGGCTCACCCTAGACATGCCAATTAAAAAAATAGCAATAATACAAAATAAAAAGGTGATCGTAAATGTCGTTCTGAGAACTCATGGCACCCCCTAATTCCTGGTAGGGTTTAAAGGACTCTGATATAGGTTCGCTCCGAGTTTTTTTTCTCTTCCTCTCTCTACACCTTCGAAGTTCCAGAACAGAAAATGGCGTCCTTCTGCAGATCAGCTCTAATGGCGTGCTCTCGCTCCATCGCGGCTCGCTCCAAAGTTGTCTCCCCAAAATCCATTAATTCTATACCAATTTCCTCTCCATTTTCCTCGGCCTCCGGAACAATTCCTCGAGCTTCACGGTACAAATGATTTCAACCTCATTTTACCAATCTTATCAAGACTGTCACTTTCTCATATCTTTTGCTGTTATCATCACATTTGTTAAAATATTTCTACTGGAAAAGAGGAAATTTTGATTCTGAATATGTCACTTGTGTTATCAAAATTTTGATTCTGAATATATCAATTTTGATGTAAGGATAATTTCCGCTTTGGGAAGCGTCGAGTCGTTGATGCCGCTTCACAGCGCAATCGCTTCCGCTCGGCTCAAATCCAACATCGCCGTCGATTCCGCCTGCTGGAGCTGCCTTTCTCAAGGTATAAATATATCCATACATACAATTAATTTATTTGTTTATTTTAGTGATTGTTAGTGAGCATACTACTTGATAGGTTCTCGGTAAATGTGTTTGATTATTCATGTTTGGGAGTTCATGTGGTTGTCAATTTTAGTTGAAGCCCAAATTTTTTATTTGCTTTCAATTGATTGTTTGTTTTGAAGCTAAAAAATATAGAGTTTTAGCCATTTCTAGAGGCAAATGATTGCATTTGTTTTGTGCTTCTTCGTGCCAATAACGACTTTATCTTATACAATAATTGCAATCAACAACCGTAACAGATGTGATAGTTCCATCATCTAGTAAATTCATGCAATTTTTTTTTTTTTGGCTAGTGGCACTGCCCAAATTTAGTTTCCCTGTCATAAGTGGGTTTCTGACTTGTTTTTCTACATCATCGTATAGGACTTGCATCACCATTTTGACAAGGCCCCGCCGACTGTATGAGACAATAAATTTCCTTCCGTGTCACTATGTGAAAGACAAAAAGAATGTTTCGATAACTGAAAATTGGACTTTGTATCCTGCAACTTATATGAACTTGTTGATGAGTTACTTCCGAATTGAAATTCTTGTAATTTCGGGTTTCAGATTCGTCTTTCTTCTGTATCTTTAAATATTGATTTGTTTGTGTTTAATTGGTAGAAGTTGGAATAATCACTTAAACAATGATAATCACTTTCTTGCTTAATATAGCTGTCTTTCTTTTGATGAGTGGCCTTTTCTTTTTCTTTTTTTTTTCAATAGTTCATCGATTGCATGGATATTTATGAATTGAATTGCATTTCACTGGCTTCACAACATATATAAGTTGGCAAAGGATCGTGCAAAAAAGAGCATGATTATACCTTGACACGTGTCAATGTATGGGGTTGGAGGGAGGAAGAACGTAATTGCTGAATTAGAAATCGTTTACGAATCATAACCAATTTCACGTAACTTTGTAGTCTGTTGGTGGAAGATAAATGATAGGACGTATGAAGACTGCTGTATTTGAAATGAATGGTTTCTCCAGGTTACTTGGTCGTATAGACTTAGAACTTCTCTTTCTATATGGCATGTCGTCAAGCCTCATAGGTTAGAAACTTTGAATTTTCAGAATCGCGTTGAGATATCCCTCGACATGGATTATATATCCAAAAAGGTCCGCTCTCGGCCATTCCACACGCTGCCTAGCGGAGGCATGTTTATCTGAAGTGGATTCTCTCTTTTCTAGTGGATGCCGAACCTGCTGCCCCATTGACTAAGAAGGGGGCGGGCGCAGCAGCTACATGGACCCCTTCCTTTCTGTTGTTGCCAGCACTTTCCCGGGCCGAGCCGGAATTTTTTATTATAAAGGGACGGCAAAGCCCGAAGGTTGCTATCCCAATAGGGAAGCGGGCGGAACGAGGAGAGGGCCCGTCAATCATACTATCGCGGTCAAAAAAGCGTGTGTGTTCCCTTCAGATAATACGCACCGTAGGCCTTCTTCGTTTTTTCGATTAGCTAAAGCTTTCTTTTAGTCGTGCGAATGAGACCCTCGCGAAGCGGATTCAGTCCCATGCTATACCTCCTATCGAACGGATTTCAATACAAATGATTGTCCTTTTGGTTGTGATGATTTCTTTTTTTTGTTCAAAGCGAAGCGAGCGGTGCTATTATCCCCTTCCTTCTCCTAGCGCTCATTGACATCGTATGCGGGTCATCGGGATGGGGAACATCATATATGAAATGACTTGATCCGTGAACGAGCTTACCCAATATTGGCCAGGGAATGGACCAATTCCTTCATTCAATGCATATTGATTGAGAATTTGTGCAGGAGATTGGGTCACGAACCTTCTCTTCTCTTAGGTCCAGAGGGGAACTCTTAGTTAGGTCCCTCAGCGACTTGGATTGATGCCTATCGGTAACAAGAAGCTTGGGATTCGCGCCATGTATGTGGCACACAACTGGTTCTATCGATGCGAATCAACAAATCACAAGGAAGTACCAATAGATACTGCGCTTTTCGAACTTACTTTGCGCAGCAAGCGCTCGTGGCGAGTGACCTTGATAGCCAAGTCACAAAGATCATTGAATTGCTGGAGCCCAGTGTAGGGAGCAGCATCTTATTCTCTTCACAAGAACTTCTGGATCGGAGAAGCATTCGGAACGGGCTCCGCGTTCATTTCGTCGGCAGAAAGGATCCAATCCATTCGGGGAACCCAAAAACGAAGTTTTTCGACTTGATTCATAGATAGACAAAAGATAGATGAACGAGATATCTTTTTTTAAAAAAGAAATAATATGAATATACATCCCCTTAGATGTCTATGTATCCTTTATCCCGATTTTTTTTTTCGTTATATCCGCTCTCTCTAAAAATAAATGGAGAGAGAAAGAGCGGATGGATCCTATCCCCTATATCGAACACTAAATCCTTTCTATCACTAGGTGTTTGGTATATATTTTCTTTGGTACAGATTAAAATGAACTTCTTTGAAGGATTTGAATTCCCTCTTTCAATCATTTTTTTTTTCTTTTTTATCTCCTAGCAAACAACCAGAGTCACCAAAATCTTTCTTCTAATCTGCTCACCCCTATCTCTCCTTTCACTTTTCCCCTCTACCAGACAAGCTCTTAGTGTCATTCACCAATTTTATATTTTTGAAAACGAAATATATAATAGGGTGCAGTGATTGGGTTTGGTTACTTTTACTTTCACCATTGTGAAGCGCATTTCTGACTTGTTACATAATTTCGTAGGACTTGCATCACCATTATGACAAGGCCTGCCGACTGTGTGAGAGGCAAAAAGAATGTCTCGATTAGGGAAATAATGGACTTTGTATCATGAAGCTTTTGATATGAGTTACAGATTCTAAATTGAATTCTTTTATTTGTGGGTTTTAATGTCATCTTTCTTCTTGGTGTTTCACTTTTCACTTTGATTTAAGCGTATGGCGCATTGGCTAATATATGTTTTTCTTTCTTTCTGCATCTTGGACTGGTTTTAGTCATCAAAAAAAAAAAGAAAAAAAGAAAAAAAAAAACTTGGGTTGGTGTTGTTTCCCATCTATTTTCATAGTTGATAGTTCGCCACTGTTTTTTCCTATAAAGTAGACAGTTGGCGGAAATTATCAGAAGGGGCATGATTATTTCTTAACGTGTGCCAATGTGTGGGGTTCGAGGGAGAAAGAACAGGAACACAGTGCAAATATTTGATGACAATCTATGATTCTATGCAATAAACTGAAGTACATTTGTTGACAAAGATGGAAAAAGGGGAAAAAACTGGTAATGTTTATGCACTCCCAGAACCAGGAACTTCTCATTGTTAGAAGGTAATACCTTATACGCGTTTCTTGATTTGTGAACTGTAAATTAATGAACTAGAATTCTTTTCCCAATCATAACCATTTCCACTTACATCTACTAGCAGGAGCTAATATAATGATAGGATTTCTGCAAGGGTCTGCGCTTTGTTAAGATTGCTTTATTTGAAATGAATGGTAACTCCAGATGCTCGGTAGGACATGTGCATCAGTGGTACATCTATTTTTTGAAGCTTCTATACAAGTTGGTTTCTAAAAGCACGAATGGTTTCGTTGATAATTTTCTCAGTTTCTGGAATACTTGCCGATTTATTGTCCTTTTGCCTTCTGAATTTTCCATTGTAATCTTTGTGTCGTTGCGTGATGTTTCATTGCAATATTTGATGAGGTAAATCCCCACTCCATATGTTTTTACTCATTTTCGTTGAAATTTCTGCATCCCCTGATTATCTCCATATATTCTTACTTCGGTTACTTAAACATTGCACATTCAATGACTATCATGATGGAATGCTATTTGCAGTTGTCGATTTGTAATGTTGCGCGAATAATCGAGTGATTTAGAAGTTGTAATGGATGAAAGCGGTTGTTTGATTTATTATGGATTGTACTCTACTAAGCTGCTTGATCTGTGTTTGAATAAGCTTTATGCTTCTGCCTACTTACAAACTAATTATGCTTGCAAGGAATTCTTGGACTCGACACGGTCTGAATGTCTGGAAATGAGCCCGAGTAAAATCAATCTACTCTTGACTCAGATTCGATTGGGTTTTATTAGGCTGTTACCAAGTTGTATTTTGCTCCTCTTGGAAGCAATGATATGACAGTTTTTTTTCTTCAGTGTTCTTGGATGGTAATATCATGTAATGAAAATAATAGAAGGGATTCTTTGAAAAAGAACATTTTAGAATAGAAGAGGAGCTTTACATTTTTACCTCTACCTTGTAGCTAGGTCTCTGTACTTTTGCTTTTGCTTTGCGGGGAAAGAAGAGTAATACCCCTTTAAATAGACCTTTTTGAATTGACTCACAAACATTGGTCCAATGACTTTTAGTCAAGTAACTATATAAATTAAAAAAGTATTAATTAAGATTAAGGTTTAAAAATTTAGACGTTTATACTAATAATTTTCTTTTTATTAAATAAAAAAAAAGGATTTTCTGTCCCCTATTCCTTCGTCTATGGTGGAAACTCAAGAACCCATTAATAGGACAAAAAGTATATGCTTCAATTAAAATCCCATCAAACCATAAATTTAAAATCCCATCAAACCATAAATCTAACTCTCCACAATCTATCGACCGGGTAGAGACTTACTATGGAATCTCAATCAATGAATCTATCCCGAGGGGAAAAGAAAGACATCTTTAGCTGCATTGGCCGCAGGGCCTCAATACTTGTTAGGATCCTTTTCCACTAAGGTCTTCAGTGGATTAAGTCTTCAATCATATTCTAAAAGAAATGGAAGACATCTTATCTAGAAATGTAGGCGCCTTGGAATTTGTAAGGAAAAAAGAAAGATACTCTTGTTCATCAGCTTATCAATCTTTTTCTTCAAATGAGTTCAAGTAATGGGTGTTCCCTCAGAAGTTTTCATACATAAGAAAGGATATGATAAGTTTGAGAGAAGAACCAATTGGGATTAGAACTGAATTAGGGCTTATTATTATTAATCAAATCAACTGAAAGACAAATCCGGACCTACAATTCGAGAGGTAGGTCAATGTTTCCAAAACTCTTAATTACTCCTAATAGCTTGACAAAACTCAGCATAAACATAATTAACTTGCTAATGCTCTCTTTATACTAAAGCCCTAAATTCATAAAATACCAAAAGACTAATATGCCCCCTAACCTTACGCCTAACATAAGTCTGTAAGGGCTTGGGCTTAACATTACTTCCCTCCCAATGAGACACCTTGTCTTCAAGGTGGAACAAAGGAAACTGCTCCTGAATCAAGTCAAACGGTTCCCACGTCGTTTCATAATCTGGAAAATCCTTCCATCTAATCAGCACCTCTTTATCGCCCGATTGTCCTGACAGCCCTTGACGCACGCCTTCTAAAGCAGCTGGTTCCAACACAACCTCCATATCTTCAGTCAACGTAGGCGGTAGTAAAGGAGAGGGTGCATGGTCTCCAATAGTCCGTCTCAATTGAGACACATGAAACACTAGATGAATCGCCGAAGAGGATAGCAACCTCAAACGATAAGCCTCCTCGCCAATCCTCTCTATAATCTCATAAGGCCCAAAATACCGAGGAAAAAGCTTCTCATTCCTCCGCCGCACCAAGGTCTTCTACCGATATGGTTGAAGCTTCAAGTATACCCAGTCCCCCACCGCAAATTGTACATCTCTCTTATGACCATCAGCCTGCTTCTTCATAATCTGCTGAGTCTTAGACAAATGCCTCTTCAACTTTTCCAACATCCTATCCCTTTCGTCCAAGTATTGATCCACCTGCGACACATGTGTCATGCTATGCCCATAATGCACCAAATGTGGCGGGTCCCGTCCATATAAGATCTTAAAAGGAGTGGTCTGTGAAGCAGTATGGTAAGAGGTATTGTATCAATACTCAGCCCACACCAACCACTTTGCCCACTGCTTGGGTGTATCTGACACAAAACACCGCAGATAAGTCTCCACACTGCGATTGACTACCTTAGTTTGCTCGTTGGTTTGCGGATGATAAGTCGTGCTCCTTTTCAACACTGTCCCCTGCATCTTAAACAACTCTCTCCAACTAACGGGTGAGGCCCCTTCCTTAAGCACGATCGCGTGCTCGTGATCCCGCTGTGGGGGTAGCCCCTCCGGCATCCGGAAAACCCCCTTAAAGCGCCTCAATAGCTGTTGAACCTGCTCTGGAATCATTTTGTTTGTCTCTCTCTGCTCCTCTTCGAGGTTATGCAACTCAATCAAAAATCCACGCCCCACGTCCTGAATCGCCCTCACCATAGTCTTGAGCGACACCAGAGTTTTGCATAGACTCAGGTTGCCCCGCAGATCCATTGTCTGATCCCCCAACTGAAACTCATTGTCAACAACTTCTAATTTACCCTCATCTCTCCCAATGACTGTAACCACTTTATCTCCAAGATGACATCTGTACTTCCTAAATCCAGGGGAAGGAAATCCTCCAACACCTGAACTCCTTGTATCTCTAAGATCAATCCTCTACATATTCCCCTACTATTCTCCACCAATCCAGTACCCATGACCACCCCAAAACTGCCAATGTCTGTCAATTGGAGGCCTAATCTGTCTACTATTCGTTTGGAGATAAAATTGTGGGTCACTCCACTATCCACCAACACCACCACATCCCGTTCACCGATACTCCCCCTTAACTTCATGGTGTGGTTCAGTGTAAATCCCACCACCGAATTAAGTGAAACTTCGGTCACGTCAAGGTGAAGATGCTCCTTCTCCAACATCTCTTCTTCATTGGCTTCTTTCTCGCCTTCCTCGTCATCCCACACAGTCAGGACTTGTAGTGTTCGGTCCTTACATCAGTGCCTTGGGAAAAATTTATCATCTCATTGAAAGCACAATCCCTTCGCCTTCTTGTCCTGAATCTCTATCTCAGTGAGGCATTTGAAAGTCACTCCCGGATGTGGCCCACTAACCCGATCCTTTTGGGGCTCTCTTTGAATTCCCAACGTGTGAGTTTTCTGTCCTCCTGATGGTGTGCTGTTTCGGTATGCAAAACCGACTGAATTGCTCCTATTGACTCGCTCCGCTGCATTCTTATCCTCAATCATCTGTGCCAACTCCATCGTCTCCCCTAACCCTCTCGGTCCCAGCAAACACAAAACCGCTCAGATCTTCGGCTTCAGTCCCTTTATAAAATTCCCCTATAACACCGCTTCTGAGATTCCCCCTAAACGACCCGAAAGCAGCGCAAATTTCTCCCTATACTCCATGACCGTCCTATCCTGGGTCGGGGCAAAAAACTGCTCGTGTAGATCTCCCTCTTGAGTGGCTCGAAACCTCTCCAACATTCGGTCTTTAAATTCACCCTACGACCTCGATGGTTGTCATTGTTCTCGCCATTGAAACCGCGCAAGGGCCTTTCCCTCCAAACATAAAGTCGCCGCCATAAGTTTTTCCCTCTCTGAGAGTCCATTGATGGCGAAATAACGTTCTACCCTATACACCCATCCATATGCATCCTCACCTTCAAAAATGGGCATTTCAGCTTCTTGGACTGCCCCACCCAATTTCACGCCATTGGAGGCCTCCAACCTTCCGATTCTCCTTCAGTCTCCATAAATCCAGAAGACCCAGCCCAAAATCCTCCTTGCCCAGCCCCAAATTCAACTGATAACCCTTGCCCAGCCGCAATCCAATCATACCTGCTTCCCCTCTCGCCTGAAACCACTCCTCCCGGCCATACGCCCCCAAATCTGCCCTGCCCAGGCCCGAATCTGCCTTGCCCATACCTGGTTCTGCCCGGCCCAGGCCCAAAATCACCCTAAAACGACGTTGAGATGCCGTGCCCGGCCACCCCCGACCCTGGCGCACCCCAAGGCGGCGCCGAAATGCCGGACCCCGATGCCCATAGCCCTAGGCCACCTCCTGCAGCATTTAAACCCTCTGATCCGCCGCCCCCAACCGTGACCAAGCCTCCCTCACTGCACCCAACGCCGAGGAAAGTCCCCCCAAGTCGCGCATCCCCTGGGCCGTCCTCCGCGCCAGCAGATCTGTCGCGAGCTGTTGCCTCTAGCCGCGCAAAGTTGGCAGTTTCCGGCCCCCTCCCCTTGTGCTGTTGCCGACCACGGGTTCCATACCGCCGGACCCCTCTCCCGCTACGCCGCCATGGCTCGTCACTGCTGCCGGTGGTGGGTTGAGGTGGAGCTTCGTTAATTTCAACAACATGGCCTCAAGGGACGACAATTGTTATTGGGCGGTGTTAAATCGCTCGTCAATGGTGGTCTTGAGCGATCTAACCTCCGTGTCTAATTTCTCTTTAAGCGTGTCCACCTTCTTCGCTACCATTGTCCCCAGATTTTGCTCTCATACCAATTTGATAGGTTTCAGAGAAGAATCAATTGGGATTATGGCTGAATTAGGGCTTATTTCTATTAATCAAATCAATTGAAAGATAAATCCTGACCTATAATTCGAGAGGTAGGTCAATCTCTCCAAAACTCCTAATTCTTCCTAATAACTTGACAAAACTCATCATAAACACAATTAACTTGCTAATGCCCTCTTTATAGTAAAGTCCTAAATCCATAAAATACAAAAAGACTAATATGCCCCCTAACCCTACGCCTAACATAAGTCTGTAAGGGTTTGGACTTAATAGGATAAGTCATCACTTGTATTTATATGAGAGTATATGACCCCAATAGAATGCACGTAAGAAGATTCTAAAGTTTTCGAACCTTCCACCTTTTAAAAATAATAAATAAAAAAACCTCCAAGTCTAGACTCTTGACTCTCCAAAGACTTGAACCATCCATGTTTCAGAGATGCATCCGGCCCTAGCAAAAACATAGAGGGAGAGAGGGGAAAAAACATAGAGGATCTTTCATAACCAAAGACTTGGTATATCGCTGGGCTTTTGGCCACCAAAGTTTACCAATAAACTCGTCATCGGATGCTCAATTTAGGGTAGGTTTTGTGCCATCCGCGGAGGAGGACGGTTGCCAGATCGAATCTAAAAGAAGGATGGGATCGTCGTCGTTGGACTTGGGATGTTTTTTTACGCGTTGGTCATCATCTCGACCTACCCTGTAGAGGTTGTGGTATGCGAGAGAAGTCGAGTCATCTTGTTGTGCACACGCCAATTATCACCTTCATGTGTTTACCAATCACTCGTCTTTTCTACCGTTTTATTTTGCTGGTGTTGAGAGGCCTTGCTCTCCTTGTTGTTTAATTTTCTAGCTTGTGGATTTTTTCATTTTTTGTTTATAACAACGGCTGTTCTTACCCTGATTAGTTTAGGTTATTATTTTTTCTTCCACAAGATATGTTTCTTTGTGGTTTTTGTCTAGTCTTTGTGTTATGAGTTTCTCGATATCGGTTGATCAGATTATTTTTGTCTGACTATAGAGGATTTGTCAAAGAGCCATGTGTGTGCTCGATTTTTGTGTCCTCTTAGAGTGATTTCTGTTTGTGGAGTCCAGTATATGCTGTTTTCTCTTGAGTTTCATTCGAATTGTTTGATGAACCGGTTATCTGTGATGCCGTGTTTTTTTTTATAATTATGTGTAGAAATTGATGTATGTAATGCTTTTTCATATTTCAAATTATATTTATCCATTTCAAAAAAAAAAAAAAAGACTTTTGAACCATCCAAAAGGTTAACCAATAACCCTTTATTCTTATAATCTGATTTCATGTTAACAAAAGAAATTACACCAATTTATTATTTGAGAAAATAATCGCACTTCTTTTCCCTAGAAAATGAAAACACTGCTATAAAAAAAATGAAAATGAAAACATCGAGTTAAATTTAAAAGAATTATTTTACTTTCATATGCTTTTAAAAAAGAGATATTTTTTGATACGTTAACATATCAGTAAGTCAGATTTGTTATCCGTTGAATTTATATAAAATCACGTAAAATTTAAAAAATATACAGACTTAATGATAAAAAAACTTAACTTATCAGTACACGAGACATACGAGAAAATTTTCTTTAAACAAAAACAAAATACAACCACAGCGAAAAAGGTCGAAATTGTAAATCTCTTAAAACGTCGTCGTTGCAAAGAACTTTTGGAACCTCTAATTCCTGGTAGGGTTTAAGGACTCTGATATCGGCTGCTTACGAGTTTTCGGTCTCTGTTTTCACCTTTTGAAGTTGCAGTTACCACACAGAAAAATGGCGTCCTTCTGCAGATCAGCTCTAATGGCGGGCTCTCGCTCCATCGCAGCTCGCTCCAAAGTCGTCTCCCCAAAATCCCTAAATTCCATACCAATTTCCTCTCCATTTTCCTCGGACTCCGGAGCCATTCCTCGAGCTTCACGGTACAAATGATTTCAACCCCCATTTTTACAACCATATACATCTCATCAAATTCGTCACTTTCTCATATCTTTTGCTATTTTGATCAAATTTCTCGTTATCAATTTTCAATTGGAAAAGGAGATTTATATATATATATATATATATATTGAATATGCCATTTGTGATATCTAAGGATAATTTCCGCTTTGGGAAGCGTCGAGTCGTTGATGCCGCTTCACAGCGCGATCGCTTCCGCTCGGCTCAAATCCAACATTGCCGTTGATTCCACCTGCTGGAGCTGCCTTTCTCAAGGTATAAAAAATTAATTTATTTATGCAATTTTTTTAAGTGATTGTTAGTGAGCATTTTACTTGATAGTTATTGATAAATATGTTTGATTCTTTGTCTTTGAGAGTTCATGTGGTTGTCAATTTTAGTTGAAGTCCAATTTTTTGATATTTCTTTTGCTTACATAATTTTATTTTATTTTTTGTTGGGTAAGCTAAGAATATGGAATTATAAGCCGTATTTACTGGGAAAATTCTGAATTTATTTAGTGCTTCTTAGGGCCAATCACGACTTTATCCTATTGGACAATAGAATATTAGCAATTAACAACCATAGCAAATGTAATTGTTCCATCATCTAGTAAATTCACGCCATTTTTAGTGCCAATGCCCAAATTTAGTTTCCTAAGTGGGTTTCTGACTTGTTTTTCTATATCATCGTATAGGAATTGCATCACCATTGTGACAAGGCCCGCCTGCTGTGTGAGACAATAAGTTAATAGGGTTTTCCTTCCGTGTCACTATGTGAAAGGCAAAAAGATTGTTTTGATAACTGAAATTTTGGACTTTGTATCGTGAAGCTTATTTGAACTTGTCAACGAGTTACTTCCAAATTGGAATTCTTGTAACTTCGGGTTTCATATTTGTGTTTCTTTTGTCTCTTTAAATATTGATTTGTTCGTGTTGAATTGGTAGAAGTTGGAGTAATAACTTCTTCAATGATAATCGCTTTCTTGCTCATATAGCTGTCTTTCTTCTGAGAAGTGGTGTTATTTTTTGCATGGATATTTATGAATTGAATTGCACCTCACTGCCTTCACAACATATAGAAATTGGCAAAGGATCGTGCAAAAAAGAGCCTGATTATAGCTTAACACGTGTCAATATATGGGGTTGGAGGGAGGAAGAACACAATTACTGAGTTAGACATTTTTTTTCCCAATCATAACCAGTTCATCTGCTGTTTTTGAACTGAATATGTCCAGATAACCTGGTCGAATAGACTTGAACTTTTCTTTCTATATGGCATGTCGTGAAGCGTCATAGGTTAGAATTTCAGTATTGCGTTGAAATATCCCTTGGCTGATCTCGTATACATCTATTTCTTGAAGCTTACAGATGAGTTTGATTCCTAGAAGCACTGCTGATTCTGTTAGTTATTTTCTTTTGTTCCTGACCTAAAGAACGCGCAGAGTTATTCTCATTTTCCTCTTTGAACTTTCCACATTAATCAAATGTCGTTGTGTTATGTCTCTTACTCTATATTATATGTTACATAATCCCCACTCCACATGTTTTTTACCCGTTTTCGGTAGAATTTTTTCATCTACTGATTATTGTCATATATTCTTCCGTGGCCTCCATAGACTTTGTAGTTCCCCAGTGAAAACGACTCCAGGATTCCGTTATTGCATATCAAATTGGCTTGCATATCAGTGGTTTTTATTCTACTCATCCCGGTTCTGTCAACTTTTCTTTGTATTTCCTTCCATTTTTTACTCTTGGTCTTGTATTTCCTTCCGTTTTTGATTCTTGGTCCTTTTTAAGTTTCAATTGATGTTTCCTACATCAATTTTGCTTTGTTCTTATTTTTCTTTAGTAGATTAGTGTTGGTTTTGATTTATTTTGCATATTTCTTTGTGAATCAACTATTCCTTTCAATTAAAATAAATTAGTAAAAACTACTCTTTTAAATATTCCTTTTTTCTAAAAATGACTCTTCTGGCGCTCAGGGAAACCTTTATGGTTGGTTGTCAAGGACTCGCAATATCCATCCGGATTAGTATGCTTTGTGTAGTGTAAGCATGGTCAAACGTTATGCTTAGTGTAAGCATGGTCAAACGTTATGCTTTGCATGCCTAAGCAATGTGTTTTTCACAGTATGAACAATAATTAGCCTTGTCATTTGCCTACTATAGGGAGTTCATCTTATAGAAAGATAATTGAGGAGTATTTTAACAACATCATTGATGGCATATTTAATTGTGAGAATTCGACAATAGTGAATGTTTATGTACTCGTCTGACATGAGTCTAAACATGTCAAATTGTCCGGATTGTTCTGTTACGAAGCTCTCCACAAAATTTTACATTTCCTCTTGAGAGAGGCTTTTGGATACACAACATCCATACATGGACGCACGTGAGCTACTAGAAAATACTTTTATTTAAATATTTTTTATTGTAATAATTTTCATATATTTTTTACGTAGTTTTAATTCTCACTATTTTGAGACTTAAAATTTTAGGCCATATTTGTTATTCTGAGTGTGCCTACAAAAAAGAGACAAAACAACAAAAAACATTCACAAACAAAACGACATGTCGTTTTGACAAAAAGAAAAAAAAACTTTCACAAACAAAACGACATGTCATTTTTATTGATGCATCAAAACGACATGTCGTTTTTATTGATGCATCAAAACAACACGTCGTTTTTATTGATGCATCAAAACGACAAGTCGTTTTGTCAAGAACGACAAAAAAATCCACAAACAAAATGACATGTTTTTTTGATCCGGCAAAACGACGTTGTTTTGTTAAAAAGACAACTTTCAGTAACAAAATGACATGTCATTTTTTACTGATGATTCAAAACGACGTCGTTTTCACAAAAACAACAAAAAACTAATGAAACGACATGTCATTTTTTTCTAATGACGTGAAACGACGTCGTTTTCATAAATCCATGAAAAAGTGTCACCTACAAATGATATGTCGTTTTGACAAAAAAGAAAAAAAAAAACACCAACAAAATGGCATGTCGTTTTGACAAAAAAGAAAAAAAAAACCTACAAAACGACATGTGGTTTTGACAAAAAATTTCACAAAAAAATGACATGTCGTTTTTCTTGACGCGTCAAAACGACGTTGTTTTAAAAAAGACAACTTTCACTAGCAAAACGACATGTCGTTTTTTCTTATGCTAGAAAACTACTTCCTTTTGACAAAAATGAAAAAAATACTTTCAAGAGCGAAACGAGATGTCCTTTTTTTGCTTATGAGAAAAATGACTTCGTTTTGTCTAAACGGCAAAATATTCTATTTTTTATGATTTTCTCTATTTTTCGTCTTTGAAAAATAAAATAAAATAAAAACAACGTCAAAACATTCTCAAATTTTGCAGACAAGATCCTTACATTTTTCTAAGTATGCCTACAAAAAATGGCCTCAAATTATGAAAAAAGAAAACGTTGTCAAAAAGCCTCGACCTGTACAGTGGGTCGCCCAGGAGCCAGGATGGGTTAAAAATTGATATTTTTATTTATGTTTTACATACTAAAGTTAAAACATGATTTTTAAGAATTAATGCAACACGCGGCACCATTTTTTGATGAATATTCTATTTTTTATGATTTTCTCTATTTTTCATATATGAAAAATAAAATAAAATAAAAACGATGTCAAAAATTTTGAAATTTTACAGACACGATCCTTACATTTTTTTGAGCATGCTTGCAAAAAAATGGCCTCGAATTATTAAAAAGAAAATGCTGCCAAAAAATACCCAACCCGTGTAATGGGGCGTCCAAGGGCCAGGAAGAGTAAAAAATAAGCAATTTTATCTATGTTTCACATTCTAAATTTAATATATGATTTTTAAGAATTAGTGCAATAAGCGGAACCATTTTTTGATGAATATTCTATTTTTTACGATTTTGCTTATGTTTTGTCTTTGGAAAATAAAATAAAATAAAAACGACGTCAAAAAATTCTGAAATTTTACAGACACGATCCTTGCATTATTCTGAGCATGCCTGCAAAAAATGGAATTGAATTATGAAAAAAGAAAACGTTACAAAAAAGCACCCAGCTTGTGCAGTGAGGCAGCCAGGAGCTAGGATGAGTCAAAAATTCACTTGATTTATTTATGTTTCATATTCTAAACTTAATATATGATTTTTAGGAATTAATGCAACAAACGACACTATTTTTTTATGAATATTTTATTTTTTATGATTTTCTCTATTTTTCGTCTTTGAAAAATAAAATAACATATAACAAAAACGACGTCATGAAAGTTTACAGACACGATCAGTGTGCCTACAAAAAAGAGACAAAACGGCAAAAAAAAAAAAAAAAAAGGAAAAAAAAAAAAAAAAAAAAAAAACATTTACAAACAAAACGACATGCCGTTTTGACAAAACAGAAAAAACTTTCACAAACAAAACAACATGTCATTTTTATTGAAACGAAATGTCATTTTTTTACGGATGACTCAAAACGACGTTGTTTTGACAAAGACAACAAAAAAATTTCACAAACGAAACAACATGTCATTTTTTCCTGATGACGAGAAGCGACGTCATTTTCCATAAAACCACGAAAAAGTGTCACCTATAAAACGACATGTCGTTTTGACAAAAAAGAAGAAAAATCTACTAAACAACATGTCATTTTTGCAAAAAATTTCACAAAACAACGACATGTCGTTTTTATTGATTCGTCAAAACGATGTCGTTTTAAAAAAGACAAAAAACTTTCTCTAGCAAAATGACATTTCGTTTTTCCTGATGTTAGAAAACGATGTTGTTTTGACAAAAAAAAAATACTTTCAAGAGCGAAACAATACGTCTTTTACCGATGAGAAAAATGACGTTGTTTTGACAAAACAACAAAAAAATTTACTTTTTATGATTTTCTCTAGTTTTCCTCTTTAAAAAATCAAATAAAATAAAAAGATGTCAAAACATTCTAAAATTTGGCAGACAAGATCCTTACATTTTCTGAGCATGCGTACAAAAGATGGCCTCAAATTATGATAAAAAACCATGCCAAAAGCCCCCGGCCCGCGCAATGCGTCACTCAGGGGCCGAGATGGGTCAAAAATTGATATTTTTATTTATGTTTTACATTCTAAAGCTAATACATGATTTTTAGGAATTAATGGAACACTCGGTACAATTTTTTGATGAATAATATATCTTTTAAGATTTTCTCTATTTTTCATCTTCGAAAAATAAAATAAAACAAAAATGATGTTAAAAAATTCTGAAATTTTACAGACATGATCCATACATTTTTCTAAGCATGCTTGCAAAAAAAGGCCTCGAATTATGAAAAAAGAAAACGCTACCAAAAAGCACCCAACCCGCATAGTGGGGCGCCAGGGGGCAGGATGAGTCAAAAATTAACATTTTTATTTATGTTTCACATTCTAAAATTAATATATAATTTTTAATTACTGCAACAAGTGGAACCATTTTTTGATTAATATTCAATTTTTTATGATTTTTCTTATTTTTCATCTTTGAAAAATAAAATAAAATAGAAACGACATCAAAAAGTTATACAATTTTACAGACACGATCCTTACATTATTCTGAGCATGCCTGCAAAAAATGGAATCGAATTATAAAAAAAGAAAACGTAGCCAAAAAAACCCCCAGCGCGCGCAGTCGGGCGCCAAGTGGCGGGAATGGGTCAAAAATTGACATTTTTATTTATTTTTTGTGTCCTAAAATTAATACATGATTTTTAAGAATTAATGCAATAAGCGCCACCATTTTTTTGATGCATATTCTATTTTTTCATGATTTTCTCTATTTTTCATCTTTAAAAAATGAAATAAAATAAAAACATGTCAAAACATTCTGAAATTTTGCAAACATGATCCTCACATTTTTCTAAGCATGCCTACTAAAAATGGCATCAAATTATAAAAAAGAAAACGCTGGCAAAAAGCCCCCAGCCCGCGCAATGGGGCACCCAGGGGTGAGGATGAGTCAAAAATTAACATTTTATTTATGTTTAATATTCTAAAATTAATACATGATTTTTAAGAATTAATGCAACAAGCGGCACCATTGTTTGATGAATATTCTAGTTTATATGATTATCCTTATTTTTCATTTTAAAAAATAAAATAAAATAAAAATGAGGTCAAAAAGTTCTAAAATTTTTTAGACACGATCCATATATTATTCTCAGTATGCGTGCAAAAAATGGCATCAAATTATGAAAAAAGAAAACGTTGCCAAAAAGTTCCCGGCCCGCGCAGTGGGCCACCCAGGGGCTCGGATGGGTCAAAAATTTACATTTTTATTTATCTTTTGCGTTCTAAAACTAATACACGATTTTTAAGAATTAATGCAACAAGCGACACCATTTTTCGATGACTATTCTATTTTTTATGATTTTCTATATATTTTTGCCTATGAAAAATAAAATAAAATAAAATAAAAAAGTCGTCATGAAATTTTACAGACACAATCAGTGCCTACAAAAAAGACACAAAACTACAAAAAAAATTCACAAACAAAATGACGTCGTTCTGTAAAAAGACAAAACTTTTTGCAACAAAACGACACGTCGTTATTTACTGATGACTCAAAAAAGATGTCGTTTTGACAAAATAACAAAAAACAAACAAAATGACATGTCATTTTTTTCTCATGACGAGAAATGACGTCATTTTCATAAAACCACTAACAAGTGTCACCTAAAAAACGACATGTCATTTTGACAAAAACGAAAAAAACACCTACAAAATGACATGTCGTTTTTATTGACGCGTCAAAACGAAGTCATTTTAAGAAAGACAAAAACTTTCACCAGCAAAACGACTTGTCATTTTTTCTGATGCTAGAAAACGATGTCATTTTGACAAAAATGAAAAAAATACTTTCAAGAGCAAAACGATGGGTCGTTTTTCTGCTCGTGAGAAAAATGACGTCGTTTTGACAAAATGACAAAAAATTCTATTTTTTATGTTTTCTCTATTGTTTGTATTTGAAAAATAAAATAAAATAAAACGATGTCAAAACATTCTAAAATTTGGCAGACAAGATCCTTACATTTTTCTGAGCATGCCTACCAAAATTGGCCTTAAATTATGAAAAAAATGCCGCCAAACTGCCTCCTGCCTGCGCAGTGGGTCGTCCAGGGGAAGGGACGGGTCAAAATTTGATATTTTTATTTATGTTTTACATTTCTAAAATTAATACACGATTTTTAGGAATTAATACAACAAGCGGCACCATTTTTTGATGAATATTCAATTTTTTATGATTTTCTCTATTTTTTGCCTTTAAAAAATAAAATAAAATAAAAATGATGTCAAAAAATTTTGAAATTTTGTAGACACGATCCTTACATTTTTCTGAGCATGTCTGCAAAAAATGACCTCGAATTATGAAAAAAGAAAACGGTACCAAAAAGCACGCCACCCGTGCACTTGGGCGCTAAGGGCCAGGATGAGTCAATATTAACATTTTTATTTATGTTTCACATTCTAAAATTAATATACGATTTTTAAGAATTAATACAACAAGCGGCACCATTTTTTGATAAATATTTTATTTTTTTTTATTTTCCTAATTTTTTGTCTTTGAAAAAGAAAATAAAATAAAAATGACATCAAAAAGTTCTGAAATTTTCTGGACACCATCCTTATATTATTTTGAGCATGCCTGTAAAAAATGGAATCGAATTATGAAAAACCAAAACGTAGCCAAAAAGCGCCCAGCCCGCACAGTAAGGCGTCAAGTGGCGGAGATGGGTCAAAAATTGACATTTTTATTTATTTTTTGCGTTCTAAAATTAATACATGATGTTTAGGAATTAATGCAACAAGCTGCACCATTTTTTGATGAATATTTTATTTTTTATTATTTTCTCTATTTTTCGTCTTTGAAAAATAAAAGAAAATAAAAACGATGTTAAAACATTCTGAAATTTTGTAGAATAGATCCTTACATTTTTCTAAGCACGCCTACAAAAAATGACATCAAATTATAAAAAAGAAAACGCTGCTAAAAAGCCCCCGGCCCACGCAGTGGGGTGCCCAGGGGCGAGGATGAGTTAAAAATTAACATTTTATTTATGTTTAATATTCTAAAATTAATACATGATTTTTAGGAATTAATGCAATAAGCGGCACCATTATTTGATGAATATTATAGTTTTTATGATTATCCCTATTTTTCGTCTTTGAAAAATAATATAAAATAAAAACGAGGTCAAAAAGTTCTGAAATTTTACAGACATGATCCATACATTATTCTCAGCATGCGTGCAAAAAATGAAATCAAGTTATGAAAAAAAACGCTGCCAAAAAGTTCCCGGCTAGCGCATTGGGGCACCGAGGGGGTGGGATGAGTCAAAAATTTAAATGTTTATTTATCTTTTGCGTTCAAAAACTAATACATGATTTTTAAGAATTAATGCAACAAGTGGCATCATTTTTCGATGAATATTCTATTTTTTATGATTTTCTATGTGTTTTTGCCTTTGAAAAATAAAATATAATAAAAACAACTTCATGAAATTTTACAGACACGATCAGTGCCTACAAAAAAGAGACAAAACGACAAAAAAAATTCACAAACAAAACGACGTCGTTTTGTAAAAAGACAAAAAAAACTTTCTGCAACAAACTGACATGTCGTTTTTTTACCGATTACTCAAAACCACGTCATTTTGACAAAACAAACAAAACGACATGTCATTTTTTTTTTCTGATGATGAGAAATGACGTCATTTTCATAAAACCACGAAAAAGTGTCACCTACAAAATGACATGTCGTTTTGACAAAAAAAGAAAAAAAACACCTACAAAATGACATGTCGTTTTGACAAAAAAATGACATGTCGTTTTATTGACGCGTGAAAATGACGTCGTTTTAAGAAAGACAAAAAAACTTTCACCAGCAAAATGACATTTCGCATTTCTGATGCTAGAAATACGACATCATTTTGACAAAAATGAAAAAATACTTTCAAGAACGAAACGATATGTCATTTTTATGCTCATGAGAAAAACGACGTCGTTTTGACAAAACGATGTCGTTTTGACAAAACGACAAAAAATTTTATTTTTTTATGATTTTCTCTATTTTTCATCATTGAAAAATAAAATAAAATAAAAATAATGTCAAAAAATTCTTGAATTTTGCAGACACAATCCTTACATTTTTCTGAGCATGCTTGCAAAATATGGCCTCAAATTATGAAAAAAGAAAGCGACGCTAAAAGGCACCCTGCCTGCATAGTAGGGCGCCCAGGGACCAGGATGAGTAAAAAATTAACATTTTTATCTATGTTTCACATTATAAAATTAATATATGATTTTTATGAATTAATGCAACAAGCAGTACCATTTTTTTATGAATATTTTATTTTTTTATGATTTTCCCTATTTTTTATCTTTGAAAAATAAAATAAAATAAAAACGGAGTCAAAAAGTTTTGAAATTTTGCATACACGATCCTTACATTTTTCTGAGTATGCCTCCAAAAAATGACCTCGAATTATGAAAAAAGAAAACGCTGTGAAAAAGCACTCAGCTCGCGCAATAGGGTGCCTAGGGGCTAAGATGAGTCAAAAATTAACATTTTTATTTATGTTTCACATTCTAAAATTAATATATGATTTTTAGGACATAATGCATGCCATCAGTAAAAAACGACATGTCGTTTTGTTGCATTGAGGGTATTATCAGTCTTGGTCCCTAAGGAATACTCATCGTATCGCTTTACCTCCTAAACTTTCAAGTGGCGTACTAATAGTCCCTGAGCTTTACAAACGTTATACTTTCAATCCATCTATTATAATATCGTTATAAAATGGATGAAATTAGCATGTAAGGCGCACATGATGCTCTTAATAAGGGTAATTTGGTATAATTAATGTGTTAATTTCAATTGTAGCTCTCAAGGAATACAAAGTGTCTCACTTTGCCTCCTAAACTTTCGTAATGGCCTTCCAACTTTACAAATGTTACGAATGTAAAATGTTTTTTTTTATAAATATTTTTGATGTTAAGTACCATCTCATATTTGAATACTTTAGTATGGAAATAAAAGAAAAAAAATGTAAAATGTTTTTTAATATTTTTTTTTATGTTAAGTACCATCTCATATTTGAATGCTTTAGTATGAAAAAGAAAAAAAGAATGTAAAATGTTTTTTTTAATATTTTTTATGTTAAATACCATCTTTTATTTGAATGCTTTACTATGGAAATAAGAAAGAAAAAAAAATCTGATTATTGGTGCTGCAACAATAAGTAACTATAATATAAAATACAATAGTTATTTATTAAATTAAAATTAAATGTTTTTTTAATATTTTTTATGTTAAGTACCATCTCATATTTGAATGCTTTAGTATGAAAATAAAAAAAAAAAGAATGTAAAATGTTTTTTTTAAATATTTTTTATGTTAAGTACCATCTTATATTTAAATGCTTTACTACGGAAATTTAAAAAAAAAGAAAAAAAAATCTGATTATTGGTGTTCATAATAAAATGCCTAGAGAAGTGCTGCAACAATAAATAACTATAATATAAAATAAAATAGTTATTTATTAAATTAAAATCAAATTTCAATAAATTATTCATTGTTCCAATAAAAAAATAAATGAAAATCAACTTTCAGAAAACTAACAAAAATCAAATTTCAATAAAGAATTCATTGTTCCAATAAAAAACAATCAACTTTCAGACAAATAACAAGATAACCGTAGTAACAACATAAAAAATAAGATAAAAGTTGACTTTTTTTTTTTTTTTTTTTTTTTTTTTTTTTTTTTACTTTTCGTAATAAAGCATTCAAATATGGGTGGTATTTAACATCAAAGAATATTTCACATTTATAAAAAGTGTAAAGTTTGTAAAGTTCGGGGGTCATTAACGTAACATTTAACAGTTTAAGGGTAAATTGGGATACCTTGTATTCCTTAAGGGATAAAATTGAAATTAATACATTAATTTTACTAATTTATCTCATTAAAAAGCATTGTATATCTGATATAGGCTAATTCCATCTTTTTTTTTAACGGTTTTGTAACGGTTGGATTAAAAGTGTCAAGTTTGTAAAGTTCGAGGCTATTAGTGCGAACTTAAGAATTTAGAGAGTAAATTGAGACAATGAGTATTTCTGAGGGGTTAAAATTGAAATTATCTTCTATCAAAGTTATTAACCTTTTTATTTATTTGGAGGGGAAAGGAAAAACTGGGGGAGGAGTGCAAAAGGGAAATCCTGTTTTCTCGCAGGCACTACACAACACGACACTCGCGACGAGCCAAACTCAGATATTCAGAATCAAAATCAGTTGTAAAAAAAAAAAAAAAAAAAAATGGAAGACAAAGGAAACCAAAACCAAAATCAAAACCAAAATCAAAATCAAAACCAAAATCAAAAGGCAATTCCAAACCCTAATCGGGGCTCAGCAGGATTCACGGGAAAGTCATGCAAAGGATGCCTCTACTACTCCTCTCTCCAGAAATCCAAATCCAAGAATCCCACTTGCATTGGCTTATCCCGTACTCTCCACCAAGGTTTTCTCTCCCGATTTTTTCATTTTCTCGTTGTTTTCTATTTGGCCGGAGAGAAAATTGAGCGAAATAGTGGAAACGAAACGAGCGTACAATTTTGTTATTATTCTTATTGTTTATTTGTTTTGGATCAGAAATCGGAATTGTTATTTGTTTCAACTTTTTTCCTTTTAAATGATGATCATCTATAAAATCGAATAGATAAACAGTGTTACCATACGATTTTTTTTTTTTTTTTGCTGGAAATATTAGGAACTATGATTCTCTTGTTTGCAATGGTGAAATGCGGGAAATAGTATAACGTGATGCGTTTTCTGTTCGGAAAATTTTGTGGTATCCAAACGGGGAATTAGGATCTAATTGAGGTTTTTCTTATATTTCTGAGTATTGATTGATAAAAAGAGTGCTTCTTGTGGAAAAAGTATATCACGTCTTCATGTAAATTTATGTGGAGTGCCGCATTCCTTCTGCTTTGGTTACTGTTCAATCTTCCGGCTACTGAAATGTTTGAGTGGAAGAACTTATTTGCTGCAAACCCATAACTAATAAAAATGAAATACAGATAGTAGGCTCGTTTGAGGGAACCTTAATAGGGTTTTCGTGAAGCCCAAACCTTCCAAAGACACCAAAATGTCAAATAATTCATCCACACATTAAATGTACGTATCTTATGGGTTTGCTTTATTTCTCAGTTTTGGAATGTCCTTGTGTTGAATCTTGATTGCTTTTTAACTGAGGAAACATCCTCCTGAAATTTTGAGTCAAAGATCTGCTCTTTTAAGTGCCTGCTGACTGAATAAGTTGCCATGCTTTTTGTGTGTACCGCTACCAGTTTAAAGTTTAGGAAGACAATAGATTTCTGTGTTTGGCGTGTCTTCTTGTATTGCATGGAATTACCTTCTGCGTCTCAAAATTTATGTTTTGGCTTCTTGTTGTGATCACCTTTATTATGAGCATTGAACAACATGAATGCATATTTGAAGTATGAAAATTTTCACCATTAAGCATATGGTGCTATCTTAGCTATTGCAGACACATCTGATGAATTGTGTATGCTAGGTCCATTATGGCATTTAGTAATTGGTGTAGTTTTCTTGACACATTTTTTCTCAACGGAAAAATTATTGAAACCAATAACTGACATTTTGATTTTTCCAGTACCTGGATATATCGTGGGAGAAACTGAATTGGAAGCTTCTAAAGAGGGCCGCAGCTTTACAGATTTCAAGTATGCTTGTGTGGGCTACTCGGTGTACTTGGACAAAAAAGATTCTTCATCAAATGAACCGCAGAACACACAAGCAGAATTGCCGTTTTGTGTAGGCCTTGAGGTGAAATGTCTCGGGACTGAATACGTGTTATTTTGATATTCTCAAGCTGGTACACCAATGCTAGGTGCACATAGTTCGTGAAATTGAAGTATAGAATTGTTTTATAAATTAAAAATTAAATCATTCAGTATGTAGTGATTTTTAAAGTGGCTTTTGCATTCTGATCAATTGATAAGCTGACATAAATTAACTTATGTGTTAGGTATTGTTGGACAAAAGGCCTGATGGCCATACACATTCTCCCGCTCCCGCTCCTGCTCCTACTCATGTTCATAAAAGTGAAGGTACCGAAAGTCTTTTTCCTTTCTGTTTGGAACATGTCCATTAATCTCTGGTATTGCAGTAGTGTGTATTTAATCTTGGATACTGTTTTCTTGAGTAAAATTATTGTTCTTCTGTAGAGCTCTCAGTTATTGATAGTTTCTCAACTATCGTTGACCTTCTATTCCGCTAACTTACTCCCTTCTTGAAACTTGCTTTGTTTCACTTAGTTGTGTTATAGGTACTCCCAAAACATACTTCGAAGTTGGATGCGAGATCATTTTATCTGGCTATGCTATTTCTCTCATTCTTTTTAGTCGTGTTTGGTCACCATGAATGTGATTTCTCATCCTTTCTGTAGTGTTCAGTTTTTATACATCCTCTTTGATGTGTCTAAAATGTGAAAATGCTGGGATTGGGGTAACGTGGGAACACCATTAAAGAAAAAAAATACCTGATCGACTGCTTCTATATCTTTATTTTCATTGTAGAATCTTTTCATGTTGTTGATTGGTACTCCATTAATATTTGTCAATTACCAAATTTCGCAAGGCAATTTGAGGTAGCGATCTGTTGACTAATTCATCCTTTTGGGATGCTGGGTAATGATTCTTTTTGGTTTTTCTACCAGAAAATGTCCGTCCTAGTTCTCTTCCTCAACCTCCACCTCGGACCTATAAACCCCTGCATTCTGCAGGAGAGGAATACCTAAACAGGCAAGTTAGAACTTTGATTAAAAAAGTTTTTCCTACCATAAGTGCGTTACGTGTATATGTTTACATTGCTTGTAGTCTTTTCTACCATCAAAAGCCTAAAGTTCATTTATACTCAGGTTTAAGAGGAATGCGTTCCTAGTAGCCTCGGGTGTGGCTAGGAATGTGAATCGGGTGTGCAACCACATAAAAGAGAGTTTGGATGACATTCTATATCCATATCGGAGACGGCCCAAGTAAAGAGTTCTTATTGCAGTTGTAATGTAAAAGGGAAAAAAGAAATGCAGAAGCTTAGTACCAGAAGTGGCATTTTCTACTTATGAATTTTCATTAAATTTGCTTTTGTCGCTCTCGCTTCGTGTATTAAGAAATAATGCTTTTCTGGAGCGGCAGCTCTCTTTTTTGCTGGATTTCGTAACAATGGGTTTATATGGTTTCATTAATCCTACAGGTTATTTGTTTACTTCTTTTAAAATTGTTGATTTTAGTAGGCTTAATAGGCGATGCTTAAAGAATCATCATGAAGCATCAAAATCTATGTTTAAATCCTGTAATCAGTTGAAATGAGTTTGATCTGTTTACAAAGAATAACAAGAATGAGGCCTCGTGCTTCTATTATTTGCTATGAAGAGTGAAGGCCTCGCGTCTTCAAGTGTTGATGATCCGCCGCTAATAGTTGGTTTCTTCTGTTTGCGTTAAAAAATGCACTTTGAGTTAATTACATTATATGTTTAAAAAAAAATGTTGGGTTCATTTATCTAAGAAAACTGAGGCTGCTTTGGCAAGTTATGAAACGAACCATAGTCAATGGATTCGGTTGTAAAAGCTTCTGGCTTAAGAGATTTTTTTTCAATGTTCTTAAGGAACCAAACCGTGATCAACTTTTTTTTTTAATGAAAAAGGTTCGTCCTTGTCTGTTAGTTTTTTAAACAAAAAACATGTTTAGTAATTGCTATAACTTTGGTAACTATGATTTAAATCCATAAATAGTACATAAACATTTTTCTCTTTTTCCAATTAGTTCTTTTAGTCAATCTCGTCTCATGAGTCATTGACTCAAAAAGTTTCTCATAAATAGTCCATTTGTTAAATTTTAAATGGACACCGTTAACATTATTTCATAAAAGGTCCTTAAATTATCTTCTCTTGAACAAGAACAATGCAAAGGTGCTCAAGATGATCTGATAATCTGAGGATCAAACCCAAAATATAAAATTATATTATGGTGGTCCAAACCCAAAATATACCATTTTACTAGGTAGGAAATGAAAAACGGAGCGCAACGGCAAAAACGGCAGTCAAAACGGTTCGTACGGACCGGTCAAAGTTTGGTCAAAATTGGTTTTTTTTTTCAGCCTTGAAAAATGACATGTAGTTTTTTTCGCTGATGAGGAAAAACGACGCCGTTTTCACAAAATGACACAAAACTGTCACTTACAAAACGATATTTCGTTTTAGACAATGAAACTCATCGTCGTTTTTGTTGTCCCTAACCTCCAATTGGGTCAAAATGACCTATATGGACCCGCGACCCGACCTGGCTATATCTTGGCCTCCTGAACTTCGTTTTTGACGATTCAAAAGGGGAACGAAACCGATTCCGACCATTTTGAAAGCTTTAAAACAACGATTAATCAGCCAAACCGGCACTCAAAACCCATCAAATTCATCATCCATAAGACATATTTGAAGTGGGTAACCTCAAAGAATCATTTCTTTAAGCTGAAACACATATTCAAAATTTTAGGTTTTTGTTCCACGAAAAATGGAAAACTCCGGAAATGCATAGCCTCAAAACTCAAATTGGAGGCTCTGATACCAAATGTTGAAACTAAAAAAATGAACCAATTGAGACTTGAAGCGTTCACAAGGGATTAACAAACATGCCCTAAAATTTTAGGTCTCAAAATAGTGAGAATTAAAGCTACCCAGAAAATATATGAAAATTATTACAATAAACAAAAATTTAAATAAAAGTATTTTCTGGTAGCTCACGTGCATCCATGTATGGATGTTGTGCATCCAAAAGCCTCTCTTAAGAGGAAATATAAAATTTTGTGGGAAAGCTTCGTAACAGAACAATCCGGACAATTTGACATGTTTAGACTCACGAGATGCGAGTACATAAACATTCACTATTATTGAATTCTCACAATTAAATATGTCATATAATAATAACAACATAATATAAATTTTATGGCATCAATAATCAAACAAATTGTATACGAAATGCTCAGGAAAAATTTATTTGAAAAATTATGAGAATTAGCCACCAATTAAAAATGTAATCAACATTTAAAATTATAAACATTAAAATATGGTGGCCTAAACCCAAAATATACCATTTTAATAGGTAGGAAATGAAAACAAGGGAGTGCAACAGCGTAAACGGCGGTCGAAACAGACTTCAGATGTGTTCGTACGGACCGGTCAAGGTTTGGCCAAAACTGGTTTTTTTCTTCAACCTTGAAAACCGACATATAGTATTTTTTTTTTTTTTTGCTGATGAGGAAAAACAACTTCGTTTTCAAAAAATGACGCAAAATTGTCACTTGCAAAACATGTTTTTTTTTTTTTGCTGATGAGAAAAAACGACGTCATTTTTAAAAAATGACACAAAACTGTCACTTGCAAAAACGACATGTCGTTTTAGACAGAAAATGAAACTCAGTGTCATTTTTTGTCGTCCATGACCTCAAGCCAGGTCAAAACAACGTGACCCAAGAGACCCCCGGGACACCCCCGGAGCTAGAACGGGGCACCATGGGGCACCCCCGAGACACTCCCGGGAGACCCCCGGGACAACCCCCAAGACATCCCCGGAACACTCCCGGGGCACCCCCGGGACACCCCCGGGGCACCCGCCGGACACCACAACGACAACCCCGGGCCACCCCCGGGACACCCTCGAGACACCCCCGGGGCACCGTCGGGGCACCCCCAGGGGAACCCCGGGCCACCCACCGAGCACCCCCGGGGAACCATCGAGACACCCCCGGGACACCCGCAGAACAACCCCGAGAGGCCCCCGGGACAGCCTCGGGAAAACCTCAAGGCACCCCCAGGAGACACCCGGGGAATCCCTGGGGCACCCTCAGCGCACGCACGGGGCACCCCCGGGACACGCCTGGGACACCCACGGTGCACCCCCGGGACACATCCGGGACACCTCCGGGACAGACCTGAGACACCCCCGGGGCAACCCCGGGGCACCCCCGGGGCACCCCCTGGAGTGACACCCACACGACACCGCCGAGACACCCCCAAGTGTGACATCCCCCGGACAGCCCCGGGACACCCCTGAAACAGCCCCGGGGCACCCCCGAGATAGCCCCAGGGCTCCCCCGGGGCAGCCACGGGACACCCCCGGGGCATCCCCGGGACAGCCCCGGGCCACCCCCGGGACACCCCCGGGGCACCCCTGGGGGGCCCCCCAGGCACACCCACGGCACCCCCGGGACAACCCCAGGGCTCCCCCGGGACACCCCCGGGGCACACCCGGGAAACCCCGAGACACCCCCGGGATACCCCCGAGGCAACCGCAGGGCGCCTCTGGGCCGCCCTCATGAGACCCTTGGGGCTAGAACGGGACACCCCCGGGGCACTCCCGGAGACGCCCAAGACAACCCCAGAACACCCCCGGGACACCTCCAGGGCACTCCCGGGGCACCCACGGGACACACCCGGGCACCCCCGGGACACCCCCAGGGCACCCGCGGGACACCACCAGGACAACCCCGGGCCACCACTAGGACACCCCCCCCAGGCCACCCCCGGGCCACCACTAGGACACCCTCGAGACACCCCCGGGGCACCCACCGGGCACCCCGGGGAACCATCGAGACACCCCCGGGGACACCCCCAGGAGACCCCCGGGACACGCACGGGAAACCACTGGGACACCCCCGGGGAACCCCCGGGACAGACTCAGGACACCCCCAGGGAAACCCCGGGGCACCTCCGGGACACCCGCTAGAGACACACCCCCAGGACACCGCCGGGGCACTCCCAAGGCAGCACCGGGGCACCCCCGGGATACCCGTAAGTGTGACACCCCCAGGACACCCCCTGGACAGCCCCGGGACATCCCCGATACAGCTTTGTTACACCCCCGAGATAGCCCCAGGGCTCCCCCGGGGCATTCCTAGCACACCCCTGGGACACCGGCGGGGCACCCCCAGGGCAACCGCGGGCACCCCCGAGGAACCCCCAAGGCACCCTTGGGACACTACCGGGATACCCCCGGGGCACCCCCGGGACACCCTCGGGCTATCCCCGGGACACCCCCAGGCCACCCCCTGGGCACCCCCGGGGCACGCCCCGCGCGCCCCCAGCGAGCCACCGGGACACCCTTGGGGCACACCCGGGACACCCAAAGGACACCCCCGAGAGACCCCCAGGACGGCCTCGGAAAAGCCCCAAGCCACCCCCGGCAGACCAGCGGGAGACCCCTAGGGCACACCCAGGGAACCCCTGGGGCACCCCCGGGACACCCCCAGGGCACCCCCGAGACACCCCCGCGACAACCCTGGGACACCCCCAGGATACCCCCTGGAGACCCCCGGGACACCCCCGGGGCAAGCACGAGACACCCGCGGGGCACCCCCCGGGACACCCCCAGGGCGCCCACGGGGCACCCCCAGGACATCAGGGATGCAAGGAATACTCACTATCCAATTCAAGTCTCAGTTGGGCTCGTGACGAGGTATCGAGCCATTACATGGCCAAATTCGCATGACATTCCAAGATACACGTGCAAGGGCATGACCAAGAGGATTAGGCGTATTTTCTATCCCCAGGGCACCCCCACGGCCCTCGGACACCCCCAGGACATCCCCGACACTCCCCGGGAGCACGCCCGGGGCACCCACGGTGCACCCCCTGGAGACCCCCGGAAGACCACCGGGACCCCCCCGGGGCACGCCCGGGAAACCACCGGGACCACCCCAGGGCACCCCCGGGGCACTCCCAGGGCACCCCCAGGGCAACCCCGGTGAACCCCCGGGACACCCCCGGGGTGCCCCCAGGGCAGGCCCGAGGCACCCCTGGGACACCCCCGGGAGACCCCCGGGACACCCCGGGGGCACCCCCAAGGCACCCACGGGGCACACCCGGGTCACCCCGGGCAGATCCCCGGAACACCCCCGGGAGACCCTGGGGACACCCTCAGGGAACTCTTGGGGCACCCCCGGGGCATGCCACAGGGCACCCCCGGGACACCCCGGGCAGACCCCCGAAACACCCCCGGAAGACCCCGGGGACACCCCCGGCGATCCCCTGGGGCACCCCCGGGGCACCCCCGGCAGAACCCTGGTAGACGACCGAGACACCCCTGGGGCACCCCCGGGACACCCCCTGGACACCCCCGGTGTTGGTAGCCGAATTGAATTCGGATGCGGAAGCGTGGCGGGGAGGCGGATCGTGTATAACAAAAATTTTGAAAAAACTTTTAAGATACTCTATAGATTATATTAATTTATGCAC